ATTATGAGCAAAAAGACAGATTTGGATCAAAGTGCTGCAACTGCCAAAAAGAATCATTCAGCATTTTCTTTTGGAATGCTTGTCTTTTAATGAAAGCAAATAGATCGGTCATCAAATTACGACCAGATAAAAGATCAACTCTTATTACTGACACACCTGAAAAGAAAGTAATTGAAGAAAAATATATGAATAGAAAAAAGAAAAGTGGACAAAAGCAATAACTGAAAAAAAAAAAAAAATAGAATGAAAATGAAGAACACTGATGAATAGCAAATGTGAGTTGAACTTTATACCAATTCAAGGCCGGGGGGGAATTGAGTAAAGTGCACAGATCTGGGGTACACATGATGAATGTGTTTCAGAAAACTGACGGAGTTCATTGCCAAAACTGTAATCTAATAATTGTGAAATTGAATATTAATTATCTAGCATAAAGAATCAATAATAATAATTAATAATTTGGACATTAATGGTTAAAAATAATGGATCGGTCCAGAAAAGAAAAAAAAGGAGAAATCAAGGGTCAGTTATGATGAACGCAGTTAAAACCTGCTGTGTTAGAAAATTAAAACATTTCTATTGCTATATAAAAAATATACATATTCAGATTAAGGAAAAAAAACATACTTGATAATGGTTAATAGATTAGCCGAAAGCGCTACGATCCATAGATCATTTGGACAATTCATACACGTGTCCAAAAATGAAATCACTTGTACGAATGCAAGAAAAATATAATAAAAAGAAGAGACTTTAGTTAAACCTGTATAAAAGAGGAGTTGCTGCTATATATATATATATATATATATATATATATATATATATATATATATATATACACATTTAACATCATCACTTGATAAGACACCGGAGGTGTTGAAACAAAATGACTATTTTTGTAGTGATTTTATATTTATGTTATAATTTTTAAATATATATATATATATATATATATATATATATATATAGTTTGTGTGTGTTCCATTGAATAATATAGACATATTGTATCTATCTATATTTACACTGACCTTTTCCAGTTTTCTAAGCAGTTTCCAAATGTTGAGATTATATATTGAAACATCTGATTGTAAAAAACAAAAAAAAAAAATAATTATAATTACAACTGATAAATTTTAAAATTCTAAGATAACTATAAGGGAACGCGTTCGCGCGTGTTTTTGTAAAATCCATATGATAACGAAATGCAGATTTTATCATAATTACAATAACATGATTGTCATTGTAAGTTACCCCGAAAGATCGAAAGTACTTGGGTTAAAAAATCTACGGTGCCTTCCTTGATGAATTTCATCTTAACATCAAGAAACTGATTAGACAGATGGAAAGGATGAAAATATGTAGACACAGTGTCTTTCTTATTCAACGAACATGTTTGAATGAATATATGCCCGTATATATATATATATATATATATATATATATATATATATATATATATATATATATATATATAGTCATCCACGGGCAGACTGTTTCACTGTGTCAAAGCTCTTCAGTGGGGTTATACGTCCGATTGTTTCAAGCCTTTATCGAAAGCCGACTGATTTGACATCAGTCAGATATCTTATTTCTAGGTCATCGTCGCACGGCAGAAAGGAAGAAAAATTTTAACGTTTTTCTCTATACAAAATACGCTAGCGGTCAATTTACTTGAAGAGTAATGCTTAATAGCAGTAGGAGCTATATATATATATATATATATATATATATATATATATATATATATATATATATATATATATATGGAGAGAGAGAAAGAGAGAAAGAGAAAGGAAGAGAGAGAGAGGTGGAGAGGGAAGAAAGAGGGAGAGAAAGTAAACAAATAAAAGATTCTAAATGTAAAAAACTTATCAACCTGTTTCAAAGCTTTTTCAGATGATGTGTGCTCATAATGGTGTTAGATATTTAAATTGAATTCATTTTAACTATTTTAATCGGGAAGGTAAATTGTGAACATTTTACTTTGTTTACTATTCACTCACAACTTCTTAATATTGACTATTTTCCTTACAAAGACTGATGGCCTTAAAAAAAGCCTTATCATCCACATTCTTATTTTTCTTCAAACAACATCTTTATTATGTATATATATATATGTGTGTTTCTGCTTGTGTGTGTATGTGTGAGTGGTGTAATTTAATAAGACAGAAACTAAACATCGAACGAAATATCATGTTATCAATTAAATTATAGCAATTCAGCGCACAATTCTTAGACCACTTTTCAGATTTGATCTTCTCACCTGAATTATTGATATTGAGGAAATGTGCACCCACCCACTGCAAAAAAAAGGCTACCACCTTCTTTATCCGTATTGTTGATTTACCACTGGTTGACCGCATTAAAAAAAAACCGCAGCCGTTTCGCGTCTTTACAGGTTAATAACGAGCAATTGGAAAAAAAAAGTTGCAATGAAATGTCGGTAGATTATTGATTGGATGGGATGATAATTAAACAAAAACGAAAACTGTAAGTCAGTGCAACAGCGGAGATCGATATAACCTAATTCTATTGACGTAGAGCGATAAAAGCAAGTACATTTCTTTTAACGATGTTTCCATCGTCCAGTCGAATAGTATTACATAACGATTGGAGACTACAAAGTTCAAATCCTTTATTTATTAGATCTGTATAGAACTGTGCAAATAGTATTCTCCTTTCATTTCATATACTGGCAAAATGATAAAATATGCTTGTACACATCTTTAGTCATCTTTAGTAACAAAAATATGACATACAATTTGATTACCTAGAAAATAAATATACTTTATTAATATATTGTGATTATTATGTGTAAAAATATGTTAAATAATATTATATTATATTCCGTTATATATAATTATAATATATATAAACACATGTTACTGTCTTATATATTATTATTATTATTATTGCTAGACGCAATCACAGGTTGCCCAACTGTTGCGTCTAGCATGAAACAGTCTGTCGCCTCTGAGTGTTGACTTCAATGTTCACTTTTATATTTACATACGCTCTATCTCTGATATTGAGTACTTTATGCCATAAATATAGCACACCTCAAAACTATATTTCTTCATATAAATATATATATATTTGTGTGTGTGTGTGTCTGTGTGTGTGTATGTATATCTATATATGTATGCATGTATGTAAATCTGTATGTATTTATGGCTGTACTTGTGTATGTAAATATGTATGCATATTTATCTTAATGTATGTATGTTTGTAGGTAGGTAGATATGTGTGTTATATGGGCTTGTATACTAGCACGAATTCACACGTCATCGTGAACGATGGTCTAAGCGTGATGGCTTTGTCCAGACTGTTGAACACGCGCTCTTTCCCAGAAAGTGTAACGAAGGTTCACTCAGTGTAGTTGCAGTATAAACTACAGGTAGGCTATGTGGGTGTTGAACTAACACAAAATGTACCTGAATGAGTGGCCAGTCATCATGTATTTATATATATGTATGTATATCTGTATGTATGTATGTATATCTGTATATATATATGTGTGTGTATCATGTAAAACTCATGGCGTTGGATATAGAAATGCTCAGGTTGGTGTCTGAGGGCGCGATTAAGCCACCGGGAGAGATGTCCTCCTTAGCCTTAGTCAAGTCAGACATCTACAAGGTCTATCACGCATGTGTGCTTATAGCACACCTTTACGCTTGCGAGACGTGGGTGCTCTACCACAGACAAATGGAAAGGCTTGAGAGATCCCACCAGTACTGCTTACGTCATATCCTTGGTATTACCTGGCAAATGTTTGTTAGTGATGTAGACGTGCTAGAGAGAAGCGGCTGTGATACCGTCGAGTCCTTGATACTAAAACATGAACTCCGGTTGGTAGGTAACCTCGTCAGAATGGATGGCAGTCGCATTCCAAAGCAATTGTTTTATGGTGAGCTGCGAACAGGAGGAGAAATGCCGTCAAACCTAAGATGCGCTTTAAGGATTACATCAAGGATGCGCTGAAGAAATGCAACATTCCTTGTGAGTACTGGGAAGAAAGTGCACCTGACCGCAATAATTGGAATGAGCCTGCTAGTAGAGGAAGGCGTCACTTTGAAGATGAGAAAAGGAGGCAAGCACAGCTTAAAAGAGATGTGCATAAAGGCCTCCCCGTTGAACTTCCAGAAGACACCAGCAAGCAGCTCGATCTGACGTGTACAGATTGTGGTAGAGTGTTTTTGTCGATTGCTAGTCTAAGGAGTTACTTGAGAGCGCACCGATGGAAGGTGGCAATTGACTTTAAAACCGTAGACACCCAGCAATTGAAATGTGATATTTGTGGTAAGATATGCGGGTCCATAAGCGGTTTCATGCAATATTTTAAATTGCATGATAATGTATCACTCGCTGTTGGACCACTTAAGTGCCCTGTTTGTGCCAGAGTATGTAGGTCCCTTGCTGAGATAAGGAGCCACATTCGTTCAGTACATCAGTAGATATTCTCCAAAAAGATATGTAGTAATGGCTGTACTCGGACACGAGTTGGCAACCACCATGAATGTATGTATTTATGTATATCTTTATCTATGTATATCTTTATCTATGTATATGTATTTATAAGATTATCATTTTACAACGTCATTGTTTTCAATTTTCATGAATTTTACGAAAACCATTATTGGCTTTGAAAAACATTCTCTTTCTTTGTCTCTTATCATCATTCACATTTTGTTAATATCTTTTGAAGCCACAAAGAAATATCTGCTAGTTGTCTAAAGAGCCAGCTCTAAGTTTATGATGAGGAATGACGGTTTGGCGAAATTAGCACTCACAGGACAGAGTGAAAGAAAGAGGAGCAAAGGTTTATCTCCGAACAAGTTTTGAAAAAATGGATCCATTTTTAGCATCAACAAAAGATATAAAACCGTGGATGGTCATGATCAAACAATTCTTGAAGTGAATAAGGAGATGAAAAGAAAAAAAAACTAAGTAGAACAGGAAGAGAGAGTAGTGAAAGAGATATAAAAGACAGAAGAGAATTAGAGGGAAAAAGAAAGAGAAAAGAATGAGAGGAAACTTTGCTCTCTTCTCTCTCTCTCTTTGTTCTCTGAGAAAAGAGAGCGAAGAAAAAGAGAGAGAAAAGATCGAGAGAAGAGAGAGGAGTGAGAGAAAAGAGAGAGGAGAAGGAGAAAAGAGAAAGATAAAACTGATAAAATAGGAAGAGACGAGAGAAAAGAACAAGGAGAGAGAGAGAGAGAGAGAGAGAGAGAGAAAGGCTGAGAATTGAGACAAATAGAGAGACGAGAGAGGGAGAGAAAAGAACGTGATGAGAGAGAAGAGACAGCTAACAAACAGAAAGAAGAAACGAAGAGAGAGGAGAGAGGGAAAAGAGAGAAGGAGAAAAGAGAGAGAAAAAAGAGAGAAAAACAGAAGAGACTAGGAATAAGAACAAGAAAAGAGAGACGATAGAGAGAGTAGAGCGAAGAGTAAGAGAGAATAGAGAGATTAGTCTTCAAAAACAAAATTGTAAATGGCCAGATACTGATTTTGTCAAGTATATTGTAACCACGTCGAAAGTTTAGATTTGAGTTTTATTTATTGGCAATGAATCGCATTGAGTGAATTTGTCACCCTAGCGGAACTATTAATGAATCTTTGTGTAGTTATTAGACATAATACGAAAGTAGGTAAAAAATTAAAAAAAAATATCCACACTTTCGCCATAACATATCTTTAGGTTTAGGTTTGAGTTTGATCACATCATTTTTGTTGCTGCTGTTACGATGTAAACATGGCCGCTCAGCTAGAAGTGTACAACAAAGATGGAAAAAAAAAGCAGTGATCCGATTTCTTTGGTCGGGTGGAGAGCCAGGGGCTGAAATTCAACGGATGCTTTTAACAGAATACTGGGGCAGTTCATGAGAAGTTGAAAAAGTGTTTGGATAAGAAGGAGGAGCAAACCTCCACCATTGACGAGGAGATTCAGCAAGATCAAGAAATGTTAATGGCCAACCGACCAGTTATCATCGATGAAGTAGTATGTACTCTGTAGATTCGGATATGGAGCACACTGCTAGCGGAGCGGCCATATTTACAATGTAACAGCAGCAAGAAAACTTCGATCCCGTGATCGCAATAGTGCCAACTATAAGCACGCATGAGCAGAAGGCAGTGGGATAAACCTAAAGATTAATTTTCACTTTCTGTCATTGAAAATCTCGAATTACAAATCCAGAGATGCAAGACAAAATTTGCATGAATCTCGGGAGTAGAAAATAGTTCAAACCAGGAGTACTTGGAGACTACTTATCTCTTGACAGTGATCTTGAGAGAGCTGTTCGAAACTACGAGAAGAAAAGTAGTTTTCCTCATGACTCACTTTCTATAAAACAAGCTTTTATCACCTCAGTGTACAGCTATGTATGTTCAGGGGATGCGTGAGTTTCTTACGAATAAACATATGTAGTGAATACGAAATCAAAAACTTAACAGCTCATGCTTCTGTGTGTGTGTGTGTGTGTGTGTGTGTGTGTGTGTGTGTGTGTGTGTGTGTGTGTGTGTGTGTGTGTGTGTGTGTGTGTGTAAACACTACATATCCTACTTTTTATATAAAACTATTTCTATAGAAAATTCTATATATCATAATTTGTACGGTTTTTAATCTGTGTGGGCGTTTTAGTCGACTATTTGAGTGAATGAAAGTGTGGAGAAATTATATTTCAAAAAATAACTGCCAATGTAGTTCCGGGCCAATGGTTTTCCGCCTGGGGATAGATCAATAATTCAGAGATAATACTCAGCAAGTTAATCATCTATATTTCAAAACCGATCAAATGAGCGTGGTTTAGTTATCACCTGGTTCTCTCACGTGGCACACTGATCGAACAGGATAGAAAAAATGTTTCAAAAATCAATTTCACGTGAAAATTGCTCAGCCTATTACAATAAAAAAAGAATTCAATGGCAATAAAAGATTTTTTCAGTGAATGTTTCGATAATAATTAAACCATTCTGGTTAATTTACACGCGGTTTTATGGAAAAGATTACAATCAGAAAAATATTGGTGGCGAATGAACAGAATGCAAAAAACATCAGGAAATGAAAATTTTATTGTTCATTTCTATTTACTTATCACATAGAAATTCGGTTTTATTATTAAATAGATTTTCCCAGTAGTATTAGTCAGTAAATATTAGTCAGTAAATATTAGTCAGTAAATATTTTAGTGATCGGGAGATTGGAGGTTTTAGGAGGGTGAAATCCCCTCTGAACTGCTGTTGTTCCCAGGTTCACTTTGGCCCTGGATTGTAGCACCTGTTAGGGTCCCAACTATGGACAAATAGTGACCACCGTCCACCACCAAATAAAAACACTATGAAAGTATAAAAATACATTTTAATAGTATAAACATCAGTAATATATTTTTCTATAAAAAAGAACAATATATAATCAGCAATACATTTTATGTGTAGTTGAAGGCATACAATTACGTTCAAAATATTTTTGAAGCTATGAAAATATGGCAAAGCATTTAGATTTCGGTATTAAATAACCCATAGAGGTGTTTATATGCTGCTAAACAAAACAAAACAATTTCTTAAATCAAACGGTAATAAAAAATATAACTTTAAAAATACACAATCATCGCTTCTAGTAATTGTCTACACACTAGTATATGCACAAAAGCTGAGTATCATCTACCATATATTTATTTTAATATGAAATATACATATATATATATGTGTGTGTGTGTGTGTGCGTGCGCGCACGCGCGTGTGTGTGTGTGTGTGTGTGTGTGTGTGTGTGTGTGTGTGTGTGTGTGTGTGTGTGTGTGTGTGTGTGTGTGTGTGTGTGTGTGTGTGTGTGTGTGTGTGTGTGTGTGTGTGTGTGTGTGTGTGTGTGTGTGTGTGTGTGTGTGTGTGTGTGTGTGTGTGTGTGTGTGTGTGTGTGTGTGTGTGTGTGTGTGTGTGTGTGTGTGTGAAAGGATGTTTTATCCGACATTATTTCTTATTTTCGTGGGTACACATGTTTAATACAAAAACAAAAATTTTAATTCCCAGCATACCTCGTTCGTGCGCATGTGTAGTCGCGCTAACGTAATAAATTTAGTCCGACGAAGTCCTACAAGACGAATATATATATATATATATATATATATATATATATATATATATATATATATGATTGTATATTTGGGCAACAAGCTTTCTTTTAAACACCGCTCATTAAATATATCACACAAGGGAGATTTAATTAATTTTTATTTGTTTTTACAGCATCCTTACGTTTTAGTAACCCTAACACACACACACATATATATATATATATATATATATATGTGTGTGTGTGTGTGTGTGTGTGTGTGTGTGTGTGTGTGTAGGTCCGTAAAATCTCGTGTTTTCGAACATAAACGAGATATTCGCCTCGGAAATTTAAACAATGCTTTAGTTGTACACACAACTAAAGCTGATCATAACTTCGATTTTAATTCTGTGAAGATTTTAAAATATTTTCATAATAAAAATCTTAGTCGGATTTATGAAGCAGGCATAATATCTATCTCACGCACCGTGAACACTAGACCTGGCTTCTTTAATATTTCCCCTTTTCTAGCAAGATTAATGCTCGACAAACGTACATATATGTTTTAGATCAAAATAAAATTCTTTTCATTTTTCATTCAAAATACTCAAATTTTAGGAATACGTTTTCACTACGTCGCCCACGTGACGACGACGTGATCATATTTAAACGGAACGCTGATCTTATAAAAGATTTCAGTTATCTGTTTGGATTGGTATTGCTTTTATGTCCATCGTCTTTTTCCTGTTGAATTGTATATGGTCTATGTTAATTATGTTTTATGAATATGTCCTGAAGATGGTCTATTAGACCGAAACGTCCGACGTTGACATTATATTAACATTAAAACAGCATAATTGCTTTTTAGGATTTTTGTTTGTTTTTTCCGTATATTTTTCTTCATATATATATATATATATATATATATATATATATATATATATGCGTGTGTGTGTGTGTGTGTGTGTGTGTGTGTGTGTGTGTGTGTGTGTGTGTGTGTGTGTGTGTGTGATTAGTGCGTTATCTTTTACCGATATACTTTGAAAGTAAGCAAAAAAGGCTACTTTGGAGAAGATGATAGAAACTTGTCATTTTTTATGGTTAAATTCCTTCCACATTTGGCTAACACCTTGTATTCGCTCAGATACTCGCAGGAAGCATGTCTCATGTAATCACCGTGGCCATATATACACACTTGAATTTTTTCAACAGTTTGGTAGATAATTATGTCCTAATATTCGTACAGCTATGATGCATATGAAAGCATTTTTAGCAAAAATAATTACGTAATATATAATTAGGGTTTTCTACAGCCCCAAACATTTGCAAGCAGATACAAACTCGTGAAGATTTTCACAAAAACTCTTGTAGATATAGGCTTATACGTTGAATTTCTACAAATATAATGTTTCATTTTAAACAAGTTTTTTTTTTTATTTGAAATGCTTGTATAAATGAACAAGTCTTTTAGCAAATGTCATTACCCTTATTATACAAGAGAAAAACGTAAATGTTCAGGGGTATTAACTGAGAAAATTTGTCATATAGTTTCAATTGTCGGTGTGTCTTTTGATTTCTAACCGCTTCGTTCATTTTTTTTGAAGAAGAGGAGACATTCATGATTTTCACAGATTAGCTGGTAGTTTTTTAACTGACTGACCGCGACCTAATTCAAAATCTTGTGTTTATTTATTTTCAAAAGATACAAAATTGACGGTTCTTGAATTTACTCAAACCAACATCGATTGGTTTAATTTTTGTTTTTAATTTTTAACCATTTGATGATTGCAGCTCGTGATATAAGTTCTACTATATTTACAATTTTTATATTCTACTTCAATTTTCATTTTTAATAAATTTATTTTTTGTTTTCATCTTTTTCTTGAGTCAGTCATTTTGATATAAATTGATTGATAATGCAGCAATTCCCACTCAAATCACAAAGTGACATTTGTAAAAGATTTTATAGTAAAAAAATAAGTATATTTTTCCAAGTTATTTGTCTTCTTTAAGATAACATCTTTTGGGTGATTTCGGTTATTTTCTGGTTGTTATCTCAAAATTAGTAATAACACAACTTACCATTTTAGATAGAATTGCATGTATTATCATTCGGTTGTTCTTGAACTCTGGTAACATTTTTATCTGTTCAAAAACTTCCATTGTTTGAAATATTATTTCTAGGACAGTTATTATTTTTATCCTCGGAATATTTTTATTTACAAATGCTTCAACATAAAGTTATTGTCTGTTCACAGCCAAATAATTAGGCACATTATCCTTCATCTCATCGAAGAAAATTTGAATTAATCCTAGAGACCCATATAAGATGCTCGCAAATGGTATCGAATACGATGTACTCTAAGCGATACTTTTTCAGAAAACATAATTTTAGTCAAAACGTAAGAATTATTCAAAGTGTGAAAGTTTAATTCAAAAAGACATCGAGAGTAAATTTTACAAAAATTCTTAGCAAATTCACTTTATAAATCATTTTTAATGTATGAGATGAACTGATCAACAGTTGGGTAATTGATATTAAGGAAATAGTTACAGCAGAAAAGGATGAGAAACTAATTCATTGGGTGTTCGACGTAAAGCTGACGTAAAGCCGAGTGCAACGAATTTTTGAACATTATTGTTTTAATTGTTCTCATTGGCTTTCTCTATTAAACTATTACATTGTTGTTGTAAGAAATCATCCTAAATGTATAAAAAAACAACAATTTTATTGTTCTAAAAACAAATCACTTTCAATTTGTCACGATATGGAGTGGAACACTAAATTTTCTAATCTATGTATTACAAAAAGTTACAGCAACTGATCATTTCAGTTCATGATCGAGACGAGATAAATGGTCTATAAACATTAAACAATATTTATAGGGGCTTAAATAGGGAGCAATCATTAACGGGGAGGAACGGAAATATCTATGTGGCTCGTTTGGTGACGTAATGAAAATAATTGCAAATTTTGAATGGTTGCTCTTATGGGATTTTTGGCAACACAGACTCCGCAAAAATCTTTTATAGATGTATCTATAATATTCGGATTAGCTACTAACTTTACAGAAGTTCCAAAACCAGGATGATCAATGAAGATTATCAAAACCTAGACTAAAACAATTAGTATAGTCGAGTATAAGAATTTCGTTGATCATGTAAGAACTCAACATTTAAGATAAGCCAAAGAATTATCCTTTAACGCAAAGTCAATCGGGATATATAAACACTTACTATATTCTGATTTTCATATGTCCTTTGTTTGGTTGTTTACTGGCACATCAACTCCTTATGGGTCATTTAATGCCAAAATTTTATTTTCTTGTGAGCTTAGTTATTTTTCCAAAAATGTATTGCTGGTCATTTTTTTTTTT